GCCGTATCTCTATGGGCGCCTATTGCTCATGGCTCTATGGGCGCCTATCTCTATGGGCGCCTATCTCTATGGGCGCCTATCTCTATGGGCGCCTATCTCTAGGGGCGCCTATCTCTAGGGGAGCCTATCTCTAGGAGCGCCTATCTCTAGGAGCGCCTATCTCTATGGCCGCCTATCTCTATGGGCGCCTATCTCTATGGGCGCCTATCTCTAGGGGCGCCTATCTCTAGGGGCCGCCTATCTCTATGGGCGCCAATCTCTATGGGCGCCTATCTCTAGGGCGCCTATCTCTATGGGCGCCTATCTCTAGGGGCGCCTATCTCTATGGCCGCCTTTCTCTAGGGGCGCCTATCTCTATGGGCGCCTATCTCTATGGGCGCCTATCTCTATGGCCGCCTATCTCTAGGGGCGCCCTATCTCTAGGGGCGCCTATCTCTAGGGGCGCCTATCTCTAGGGGCGCCTATCTCTAGGGGCGCCTATCTCTAGGGGCGCCTATCTCTAGGGCGCCTTCTCTATGGGCGCCTATCTCTTATGGGCGCCTATCTCTAGGGCGCCTATCTCTAGGGGCGCCTATCTCTATGGGCGCCTATCTTTATGGCCGCCTATCTCTATGGGCGCCTATCTCTAGGGGCGCCTATCTCTATGGGCGCCTATCTCTATGGGCGCCTATCTCTATGGGCGCCTATCTCTAGGGGCGCCTATCTCTAAGGGCGCCTATCTCTATGGGCGCCTATCTCTAAGGGGGCCTATCTCTATGGGCGCCTATCTCTAGGGGCGCCTATCTCTATGGGCGCCTATCTCTAGGGGCGCCTATCTCTAGGAGCGCCTATCTCTAGGAGCGCCTATCTCTATGGCCGCCTATCTCTAGGGGCGCCTATCTCTATGGCCGCCTATCTCTAGGGGCGCCTATCTCTAGGGGCGCCTATCTCTAGGAGCGCCTATCTCTAGGGGCGCCTATCTCTAGGGGCGCCTATCTCTAGGGGCGCCTATCTCTAGGGGCGCCTATCTCTAGGGGCGCCTATCTCTATGGGCGCCTATCTCTAGGGGCGCCTATCTCTAGGGGGCGCCTATCTCTAGGGAGCAGCTATATCTTGGGGCGCCTATCTATATGGGCGCCTATCTCTATGGGCGCCTATCTCTACGGGCGCCTATCTCTAGGGGCGCCTATCTCTATGGGCGCCTATCTCTACGGGCACCTATCTCTAGGGGCGCCTATCTCTAGGGGCGCCTATATCTAGGGGCGCCTATCTCTAGGGGCGCCTATCTCTAGGGGCGCCTATCTCTAGGGGCGCCTATCTCTATGGGCGCCTATCTCTATGGGCGCCTATCTCTAGGGGCGCCTATCTCTATGGGCGCCTATCTCTAGGGGCGCCTATCTCTATGGGCGCCTATCTCTACGGGCGCCTATCTCTAGGGGCACCTATCTCTAGGGGCGCCTATCTCTATGGGCGCCTATCTCTAGGGGCGTCTATCTCTAGGGGCGCCTATCTCTAGGGGCGCCTATCTCTATGGGCGCCTATCTCTATGGGCGCCTATCTCTATGGGCGCCTATCTCTAGGGGCGCCTATCTCTATGGGCGCCTATCTCTAGGAGCGCCTATCTCTAGGGGCGCCTATCTCTATGGCCGCCTATCTCTATGGGCGCCTATCTCTATGGGCGCCTATCTCTAGGGGCGCCTATCTCTATGGGCGCCTATCTCTATGGGCGCCTATCTCTATGGGCGCCTATCTCTATGGGGCGCCTATCTCTAGGGCGCCTATCTCTATGGGCGGCCTATCTCTAGGAGCGCCTATCTCTAGGGCGCCTATCTCTATGGCCGCCTATCTCTATGGGCGCCTATCTCTATGGGCGCCTATCTCTAGGGGCGCCTATCTCTATGGCGCCTATCTCTAGGAGCGCCTATCTCTAGGGGCGCCTATCTCTATGGCCGCCTATCTCTATGGGCGCCTATCTCTATGGGCGCCTATCTCTAGGGGCGCCTATCTCTATGGGCGCCTATCTCTGATGGGCGCCTATCTCTATGGGCGCCTATCTCTATTGGGCGCCTATCTCTAGGGGCGCCTATCTCTTATGGGCGCCTATGTCTATGGGCGCCTATCTCTAGGGGCGCCTATCTCTATGGGCGCCTATCTCTAGGGGCGCCTATCTCTATGGGCGCCTATCTCTAGGGGCGCCTATCTCTAGGTGAGCCTATCTCTAGGGGCGCCTATCTCTATGGGCGCCTATCTTTAGGGGCGCCTATCTCTAGGGGCGCCTATCTCTAGGGGCGCCTATCTCTACGGGCGCCTATCTCTAGGGGCGCCTATCTCTAGGGGCGCCTATCTCTACGGGCGCCTATCTCTAGGGGCGCCTATCTCTATGGGCGCCTACCTCTAGGGGCGCCTATCTCTATGGGCGCCTATCTCTATGGGCGCCTATATCTATGGGCGCCTATCTCTAGGGGCGCCTATCTCTATGGGCGCCTATCTCTATGGGCGCCTATCTCTAGGGGCGCCTATCTCTATGGGCGCCTATCTCTAGGGGCGCCTATCTCTATGGGCGCCTATCTCTAGGGGCGCCTATCTCTAGGTGAGCCTATCTCTAGGGGCGCCTATCTCTATGGGCGCCTATCTTTAGGGGCGCCTATCTCTAGGGGCGCCTATCTCTAGGGGCGCCTATCTCTACGGGCGCCTATCTCTAGGGGCGCCTATCTCTAGGGGCGCCTATCTCTACGGGCGCCTATCTCTAGGGGCGCCTATCTCTATGGGCGCCTACCTCTAGGGCGCCTATCTCTATGGGCGCCTATCTCTAGGGGCGCCTATCTCTATGGGCCCTATCTCTAGGGGCGCCTATCTCTATGGCCGCCTATCTCTATGGGCGCCTATCTCTATGGGCGCCTATCTCTATGGGCGCCTATCTCTATGGGCGCCTATCTCAAGGGGCGCCTATCTCTAGGGGCACCTATCTCTATGGGCGCCTATCTCTTTGGGCGCCTATCTCTATGGGCGCCTATCTCTAGGGGCGCCTATCTCTAGGGGCGCCTATCTCTAGGGGCGCCTATCTCTAGGGGCGCCTATCTCTAGGGCCGCCTATCTCTATGGGCGCCTATCTCTATGGGCGCCTATCTCTAGGGGCGCCTATCTCTATGGGCGCCTATCTCTATGGGCGCCTATATCTATGGGCGCCTATCTCTATGGGCGCCTATCTCTATGGCGCCTATCTCTATGGGCGCCTATCTCTAGGGGCGCCTATCTCTATGGGCGCCCCTACCTCTAGGGGCGCCTATCTCTAGGGGCGCCTATCTCTAGGGGCGCCTATCTCTAGGGGCGCCCATAGAGATAGGCGCCCATAGAGATAGGCGCCCCTAGAGATAGGCGCCCATAGAGATAGGCGCCCATAGAGATAGGCGCCCCTAGAGATAGGCGCCCATAGATATAGGCGCCCATAGAGATAGGCGCCCATAGAGATAGGCAGCCATAGAGATAGGCGCCCCTAGAGATAGGCGCCCATAGAGATAGGCGCCCCTAGAGATAGGCGCCCATAGAGATAGGCGCCCCTAGAGGTAGGCGCCCATAGAGATAGGCGCCCCTAGAGATAGGCGCCCGTAGAGATAGGCGCCCCTAGAGATAGGCGCCCTAGAGATAGGCGCCCGTAGAGATAGGCGCCCCTAGAGATAGGCGCCCCTAGAGATAGGCGCCCCTAAAGATAGGCGCCCATAGAGATAGGCGCCCCTAGAGATAGGCTCACCTAGAGATAGGCGCCCCTAGAGATAGGCGCCCATAGAGATAGGCGCCCCTAGAGATAGGCGCCCCATAGAGATAGGCGCCCCTAGAGAATAGGCGCCCATAGACATAGGCGCCCATAGAGATAGGCGCCCATAGAGATAGGCGCCCTAGAGATAGGCGGCCATAGAGATAGGCGCCCCTAGAGATAGGCGCCCCTAGAGATAGGCGCCCATAGATATAGGCGCCCATAGAGATAGGCGGCCATAGAGATAGGCGCCCCATAGAGATAGGCGCCCATAGAGATAGTCGCCCCATAGAGATAGGCGCCCATAGAGATAGGCGCCCCTAGAGATAGGCGGCCCTAGAGATAGGCGCCCCTAGAGATAGGCGCCCCTAGAGATAGGCGCCCCTAGAGATAGGCGCCCATAGAGATAGGCGCCAATAGAGAGAGGCGCCCCTAGAGATAGGCGCCCATAGAGACAAGGCGCCCCTAGAGATAGGCGCCCATAGAGATAGGCGCCCCTAGAGATAGCCGCCCCTAGAAATAGGTTCCCTAGAGATAGGCACCCCTAGAGATAGCCGCCCCTAGAGATAGGCGCCCATAGAGATAGGCGCCCATAGAGATAGGCGGCCATAGAGATAGGCGCCCATAGAGATAGGCGCCCCTAGAGATAGGCGCCCCTAGAGATAGGCGCCCCTAGAGATAGGCGCCCATAGATATAGGCAGCCCATAGAGATAGGCGCCCATAGAGATAGGCGCCCCTAGAGATAGGCGCCCCTAGAGATAGGCGCCCCTAGAGATAGGCGCACCTAGAGATAGGCGCCCCTAGAGATAGGCGCCCCTAGAGATAGGCACCCCTAGAGATAGGCGCCCCATAGAGATAGGCGCCCATAGAGATAGGGCGCCCATAGAGATAGGCGCCCATAGAGATAGGCGCCCATAGAAGATAGGCGCCCATAGAGATAGGCGCCCATAGAGATAGGCGCCCCTAGAGATAGGCGCCCCATAGAGATAGGCGCCCATAGAGATAGGCGCCCATAGAGATAGGCGCCCATAGAGATAGGCGCCCATAGAGATAGGCGCCCATAGAGATAGGCGCCCCTAGAGATAGGCGCCCATAGAGATAGGCGCCCATAGAGATAGGCGCCCCTAGAGATAGGCGCCCATTAGATATAGGCGCCCATAGAGATAGGCGCCCATAGAGATAGGCAGCCATAGAGATAGGCGCCCTAGAGATAAGGCGCCCATAGAGATAGGCGCCCCTAGAGATAGGCGCCCATAGAGATAGGCGCCCCTAGAGGTAGGCGCCCATAGAGATAGGCGCCCCTAGAGATAGGCGCCCGTAGAGATAGGCGCCCCTAGAGATAGGCGCCCCTAGAGATAGGCGCCCGTAGAGATAGGCGCCCCTAGAGATAGGCGCCCCTAGAGATAGGCGCCCCTAAAGATAGGCGCCCATAGAGATATGCGCCCCTAGAGATAGGCTCACCTAGAGATAGGCGCCCCTAGAAGATAGGCGCCCATAGAGATAGGCGCCCCTAGAGATAGGCGCCCCATAGAGATAGGCGCCCCTAGAGATAGGCGCCCATAGACATAGGCGCCCATAGAGATAGGCGCCCATAGAGATAGGCGCCCCTAGAGATAGGCGGCCATAGAGATAGGCGCCCCTAGAGATAGGCGCCCCTAGAGATAGGCGCCCATAGATATAGGCGGCCCATAGAGATAGGCGCCCCTAGAGATAGGCGCCCATAGAGATAGGCGCCCCTAGAGATAGGCGCCCATAGAGATAGGCGCCTATAGAGATAGGCGCTCCTAGAGAAAGGCGCCCCTAGAGATAGGCGCCCATAGAGATAGGCGCCCATAGAGATAGGCGCCCCTAAGAATAGGCGCCCATAGAGATAGGCGCCCCTAGAGATAGGCGCCCCTAGAGATAGGCGCCCTAGAGATAGGGGCCCATAGAGATAGGCGCCCATAGAGATAGGCGCCCAATAGAGATAGGCGGCCATAGAGATAGGCGCCCCTAGAGATAGGCGCCCCTAGAGATAGGCGCCTATATAGATAGGCGCCCATAGAGATAGGCGCCCCTAGAGATAGGCGCCCCTAGAGATAGGCGCCCCTAGAGATAGGCGCCCCTAGAGAATAGGCGGCCATAGAGATAGGCGCCCTAGAGATAGGCGCCCATAGAGATAGGCGCCCCTAGAGATAGGCGCCCCTAGAGATAGGCGCCCCTAGAGATAGGCGCCCATAGAGATAGGCGCCCATAGAGATAGGCGCCATAGAGATAGGCGCCCCTAGAGATAGGCGCCCCTAGAGATAGGCGCCCATAGAGATAGGCGCCCCTAGAGATAGGCGCCCATAGAGATAGTCGCGCCATAGAGATAGGCGCCCATAGAGATAGGCGCCCCTAGAGATAGGCGGCCCTAGAGATAGGCGCCCATAGAGATAGGCGCCTATAGAGATAGGCGCTCCTAGAGAAAGGCGCCCCTAGAGATAGGCGCCCATAGAGATAGGCGCCCATAGAGATAGGCGCCCCTAGAGATAGGCGCCCATAGAGATAGGCGCCCCTAGAGATAGGCGCCCCTAGAGATAGGCGGCCCTAGAGATAGGCGCCCATAGAGATAGGCGCCTATAGAGATAGGCGCTCCTAGAGAAAGGCGCCCCTAGAGATAGGCGCCCATAGAGATAGGCGCCCATAGAGATAGGCGCCCTAGAGATAGGCGCCCATAGAGATAGGCGCCCCTAGAGATAGGCGCCCCTAGAGATAGGCGCCCCTAGAGATAGGGGCCCATAGAGATAGGCGCCCATAGAGATAGGCGCCCATAGAGATAGGCGGCATAGAGATAGGCGCCCCTAGAGATAGGCGCCCCTAGAGATAGGCGCCTATATAGATAGGCGCCCATAGAGATAGGCGCCCCTAGAGATAGGCGCCCTAGAGATAGGCGCCCCTAGAGATAGGCGCCCCTAGAGATAGGCGGCCATAGAGATAGGCGCCCCTAGAGATAGGCGCCCATAGAGATAGGCGCCCCTAGAGATAGGCGCCCCTAGAGATAGGCGCCCCTAGAGATAGGCGCCCATAGAGATAGGCGCCCATAGAGATAGGCGCCCATAGAGATAGGCGCCCCTAGAGATAGGCGCCCCTAGAGATAGGCGCCCATAGAGATAGGCGCCCCTAGAGATAGGCGCCCATAGAGATAGTCGCCCATAGAGATAGGCGCCCATAGAGATAGGCGCCCCTAGAGATAGGCGGCCCTAGAGATAGGCGCCCATAGAGATAGGCGCCCCTAGAGATAGGCGCCCCTAGAGATAGGCGCCCCTAGAGATAGGGGCCCATAGAGATAGGCGCCCATAGAGATAGGCGCCCATAGAGATAGGCGGCCATAGAGATAGGCGCCCCTAGAGATAGGCGCCCCTAGAGATAGGCGCCTATATAGATAGGCGCCCATATGAGATAGGCGCCCCTAGAGATAGGCGCCCCTAGAGATAGGCGCCCCTAGAGATAGGCGCCCCTAGAGATAGGCGGCCATAGAGATAGGCGCCCCTAGAGATAGGCGCCCATAGAGATAGGCGCCCCTAGAGATAGGCGCCCCTAGAGATAGGCGCCCCTAGAGATAGGCGCCCATAGAGATAGGCGCCCATAGAGATAGGCGCCCATAGAGATAGGCGCCCCTAGAGATAGGCGCCCCTAGAGATAGGCGCCCATAGAGATAGGCGCCCCTAGAGATAGGCGCCCATAGAGATAGTCGCCCATAGAGATAGGCGCCCATAGAGATAGGCGCCCCTAGAGATAGGCGGCCCTAGAGATAGGCGCCCCTAGAGATAGGCGCCCCTAGAGATAGGCGCCCCTAGAGATAGGCGCCCATAGAGATAGGCGCCAATAGAGATAGGCGCCCCTAGAGATCGGCGCCCATAGAGACAGGCGCCCCTAGAGATAGGCGCCCATAGAGATAGGCGCCCCTAGAGATAGCCGCCCCTAGAAATAGGTTCCCTAGAGATAGGCGCCCCTAGAGATAGCCGCCCCTAGAGATAGGCGCCCAATAGAGATAGGCGCCCATAGAGATAGGCGGCCATAGAGATAGGCGCCCATAGAGATAGGCGCCCCTAGAGATAGGCGCCCTAGAGATAGGCGCCCCTAGTAGATAGGCCGCCCATAGATATAGGCGCCATAGAGATAGGCGCCCATAGAGATAGGCGCCCCTAGAGATAGGCACCCCTAGAGATAGGCGCCCCTAGAGATAGGCGCACCTAGAGATAGGCGCCCTCTAGAGATAGGCGCCCCTAGAGATAGGCACCCCTAGAGATAGGCGCCCCTAGAGATAGGCGCCCATAGAGATAGGCGCCCATAGAGATAGGCGCCTCATAGAGATAGGCGCCCATAGAGATAGCGCCCACTAGAGTAATAGGCGCCGGCCTAGAGATAGGCGCCGATAGAGATGGCGCCCATAGAGTAGGCGCCCATAGAGATAGGCGCCCATAGAGATAGGCGCCCCTAGAGATAGGCGCCCATAGAGATAGGCGCCCCTAGAGATAGGCGGCCCATAGAGATAGGCGCCCATAGAGATAGGCGCTCCTAGGAAAGGCGCCCCTAGAGATAGGCGCCCATAGAGATAGGCGCCCATAGAGATAGGCGCCACTAGAGATAGGCGCCCTAGAGATAGGCCCCCTAGAGATAGGCGCCCCTAGAGATAGGCGCCCCTAGAGGATAGGCGCCCATAGAGATAGGCGCCCATAGAGATAGGCGCCCATAGAGATAGGCGGCCATAGAGATAGGCGCCCATAGAGATAGGCGCCCCTAGAGATAGGCGCCCATAGAGATAGGCGCCCATAGAGATAGGCGCCCATAGAGATAGGCGCCCATAGAGATAGGTCGCCCATAGAGATAGGCGACACCCTAGTACGCATAGGCCCCATAGAGATAGGACGCCCCATAGAGGCATAGGCGCCCATAGAGATAGGCGCCCCTAGAGATAGGCGCCCCTAGAGATAGGGCCCCTAGAGATAGGTGCCCCTAGAGATAGGCGCCCCTAGAGATAGGCGCCCCTAGAGATAGGCGCCCCTAGAGATAGGGGCGCCTATCTAGATAGGCGCCCCTAGAGATAGGCGCCCCTAGAGATAGGCGGCCATAGAGATAGGCGCCCCTAGAGATAGGCGCCCATAGATATAGGCGCCCATAGAGATAGGAGCCCCTAGAGATAGGCGGCCATAGAGATAGGCGCCCCTAGAGATAGGCGCCCATAGATATAGGCGCCCATAGAGATAGGCGCCCCTAGAGATAGGCGGCCATAGAGATAGGCGCCCTAGAGATAGGCGCCCATAGAGATAGGCGCCCATAGAGATAGGCGCCCATAGAGATAGGCGGCCATAGAGATAGGCGCCCATAGAGATAGGCGCCCCTAGAGATAGGCGGCCAAAATTGATAGGGCGCCCCTAGATATAGGCGCCCATAGAGATAGGCGCCCATAGAGATAGGCGCCCATAGATATAGGCGCCTCTAGAGATAGGCGCCTATATAGATAGGCGCCCATAGAAATAGGCGCCCCTAGAGATAGGCTCACCTAGAGATAGGCGCCCATAGAGATAGGCGCCCAGAGAGATAGGCGCCCCTAGAGATAGGCGCCGCTAGAGATAGGCGCCCATAGAGATAGGCGCCCCTAGAGATAGGCGCCCCTAGAGATAGGCGCCCCTAGAGATAGGCACCCCTAGAGATAGGCTCACCTAGGAGCGCCTTTCTCTATGGGCGCCTATCTCTATGTGCGCCTATCTCTATGGGCGCCTATCTCTATGGGCGCCTATCTCTAGGGGCGCCTATCTCTAGGGGCGCCTATCTCTAGGGGCGCCTATCTCTATGGGCGCCTATCTCTAGGGGCGCCTATCTCTAGGGGCGCCTATCTCTATGGGCGCCTATCTCTATGGGCGCCTATCTCTATGGGCGCCTATCTCTAGGGGCGCCTATCTCTAGGGGCGCCTATCTCTAGGGGCGCCTATCTCTATGGGCGCCTATCTCTAGGGGCGCCTATCTCTATGGCCGCCTATCTCTAGGGGCGCCTATCTCTAGGGGCGCCTATCTCTAGGGGCGCCTATCTCTAGGGGCGCCTATCTCTATGGGCGCCTATCTATATAGGCGCCTATCTCTAGGGGCGCCTATCTCTAGGGGCGCCTATCTCTATGGCCGCCTATCTCTATGGGCGCCTATCTCTATGGGCGCCTATCTCTATGGGCCCCTATCTCTAGGGGCGCCTATCTCTAGGGGCGCCTATCTCTAGGGGCGCCTATCTCTATGGCGCCTATCTCTAGGGGCGCCTATCTCTATGGGCGCCTATCTCTATGGGCGCCTATCTCTAGGGCGCCTTTCTCTAGGAGCGCCTATCTCTATAGGCGCCTATCTCTATGGGCGCCTATCTCTAGGGGCGCCTATCTCTATGGGCGCCTATCTCTAGGGGCGCCTATCTCTATGGGCGCCTATCTCTATGGGCGCCTATCTCTAGGGGCGCCTATCTAGATAGGTCGCCCCTATCTCTAGGGGCGCCTATCTCTAGGGGCGCCTATCTCTAGGGGCGCCTATCTCTAGGGAGCACCTATCTCTATGGGCGCCTATCTCTAGGGGCGCCTATCTCTAGGGGCGCCTATGTCTATGGGCGCCTATCTCTATGGGCGCCCCTCTTTATGGGCGCCTATCTCTATGGGCGCCTATTCTCTAGGGGCGCCTATCTCTAGGGGCGCCTATCTCTATGGCCCGCCTATCTCTATGGGCGCCTATCTCTAGGGGCGCCTATCTCTAGGAGCGCCTATCTCTAGGGGCGCCTATCTCTAGGGGCGCCTATCTCTATGGGCGCCTATCTCTATTGGGCGCCTATCTCTAGGGGCGCCTATCTCTAGTGGCGCCTATCCGATGGGCGCCTATCTCTAGGGGCGCCTATCTCTAGGGGCGCCTATCTCTAGGGGCGCCTATCTCTAGGGGCGCATTATCTCTATGGGCGCCTATCTCTAGGGGCGCCTATCTCTATGGGACGCCTACTCTCTATGGGCGCCTATCTCTATGGGCGCCTATCTCTATGGGCGCCTATCTCTATGGGCGCCTATCTCTATGGGCGCCTATCTCTATGGGCGCCTATCCCTATGGGCGCCTATCTCTATGGGCGCCTATCTCTAGGGGTTCCTATCTCTATGGACGCCTATCTCTAGGGGCGCCTATCTCTTGTGGTGCCTATCTCTAGGGGCGACCTATCTCTATGGGCGCCTATCTCTAGGGGCACCTATCTCTAGGGGCGCCTATCTCTAGAGCGCCTATCTCTAGGGCGCAGATCTCTATGGGGCGCCAATCTCTAGGGGCACCTATCTCTATAGGCGCCTATCTCTATGGGCGCCTATCCCTATGGGCGCCTATCTCTAGGGGCGCCTATCTCTATGGGCGCCTATCTCTATGGGCGCCTATCTCTATGGGCGCCTATCTCTATGGGTGCCTATCTCTATGGGCGCCTATCTCTATGGGCGCCTATCTCTATGGGCGCCTATCGCTATGGGCGCCTGTCTCTAGGGGTGCCTATCTCTATGGGCGCCTATCTCTAGGGGCGCCTATCTCTAGTGGCGCCTATCTCTAGGGCGCCTATCTCTATGGGCGCCTATCTCTAGGGGCGCCTATCTCTTGGGGCGCCTATCTCTATGGGCGCCTATCTCTATGGGTGCCTATCTCTATGGGCGCCTATCTCTATGGGCGCCTATCTCTATGGGCGCCTATCTCTATGGGCGCCCTATCTCTATGGGCGCCTATCTCTATGGGCGCCTATCTCTATGGGCGCCTATCTCTATGGGCGCCTATCTCTATGGGCGCCTATCTCTATGGGCGCCTATCCCTATGGGCGCCTATCTCTATGGGCGCCTATCTCTATGGGCGCCTATCTCTATGGGCGCCTATCTCTAGGGGCGCCTATCTCTATGGCCGCCTATCTCTAGGGGCGCCTATCTCTATGGGCGCCTATATCTATGGGCGCCTATCTCTAGGGGCGCCTATCTCTATGGCCGCCTATCTCTAGGGGCGCCTATCTCTATGGGCGCCTATATCTATGGGCGCCTATCTCTAGGGGCGCCTATCTCTATGGCCGCCTATCTCTAGGGGCGCCTATCTCTAGGGGCGCCTATCTAGATAGGCGCCCCTATCTCTAGGGGCGCCTATCTCTAGGGGTGGCCTATCTCTAGGGGCGCCTATCTCTAGGGGCACCTATCTTCTATGGGCGCCTATCTCTAGGGGCGCCTATCTCTAGGGGCGCCTATCTCTATGGGCGCCTATCTCTATGGGCGCCCCTCTTTATGGGCGCCTATCTCTATGGGCGCCTATCTCTAGGGGCGCCTATCTCTAGGGGCGCCTATCTCTATGGCCGCCTATCTCTATGGGCGCCTAACTCTAGGGGCGCCTATCTCTAGGAGCGCCTATCTCTAGGGGCGCCTATCTCTAGGGGCGCCTATCTCTATGGGCGCCTATCTCTATGGGCGCCTATCTCTAGGGGCGCCTATCTCTAGTGGCGCCTATCTCTATGGGCGCCTATCTCTAGGGGCGCCTATCTCTAGGGGCGCCTATCTCTAGGGGCGCCTATCTCTAGGGGCGCATATCTCTATGGGCGCCTATCTCTAGGGGCGCCTATCTCTATGGGCGCCTATCTCTATGGGCGCCTATCTCTATGGGCGCCTATCTCTATGGGCGCCTATCTCTATGGGCGCCTATCTCTATGGGCGCCTATCTCTATGGGCGCCTATCCCTATGGGCGCCTATCTCTATGGGCGTCTATCTCTAGGGGTTCCTATCTCTATGGGACGCCTATCTCTAGGGGCGCCTATCTCTTGTGGTGCCTATCTCTAGGGGCGCCTATCTCTATGGGCGCCTATCTCTAGGGGCACCTATCTCTAGGGGCGCCTATCTCTAGGAGCGCCTATCTCTAGGGGCGCATATCTCTATGGGCGCCAATCTCTAGGGGCACCTATCTCTATAGGCGCCTATCTCTATGGGCCCTATCTCTATGGGCGCCTATCTCTAGGGGCGCCTATCTCTATGGGCGCCTATCTCTATGGGCGGCCTATCTCTATGGGTGCCTATCTCTATGGGCGCCTATCTCTATGGCGCCTATCTCTATGGGCGCCTATCGCTATGAGGCGCCTGTCTCTAGGGGTGCCTATCTCTATGGCGCCTATCTCTAGGGGCGCCTATCTCTAGTGGAGCCTATCTCTAGGGGCGCCTATCTCTATGGGCGCCTATCTCTAGGGGCGCCTATCTCTTGGGGCGCCTATCTCTATGGGCGCCTATCTCTATGGGTGCCTATCTCTATGGGCTCCTATCTCTATGGGCGCCTATCTCTATGGGCGCCTATCTCTATGGGCGCCTATCTCTATGGGCGCCTATCTCTATGGGCGCCTATCTCTATGGGCGCCTATCTGTCAGATTATTATAGCTGATGCATGTTTGTAGGCTATAGTGGGGTAGCACATATGGGGTACAGTTTGCTAGGGTTGTATTTGTACCCAACTCTGACTTAGTCAATTCATTCTTGTTCAGTTAGTTTCACATGGTATAGTAGCGGGTCCTCCTAAGGACCGTTCTTTGGGCCCACCCACGATTTTTTTTTTTTTCCTGCCCGGAGCGCGCCCTATTCTCCCCGAGGCGCGCTCCACCTAGTGCGCGTCGAGCTGCCCTTGTGGCGCACCGAGAGTCCGCGTGCGCGCGACTCATTTTTTTTCGCGCCGCGCGGTTCAGGCCCCACTTCGCTCGGCCCTTACAGCCGCGCCGCGCCGCCCTCCTCGGCTCTGCCGCGCCGCGCCGCCCTCAAGACGGCCGCGCGGCCTCTTCGTCGCTGCAGCAGGCCCCCCCCCCGCTGCACCTCTGTCGGCCCCGCAGCCGCCTACCTGACGGCCGCCGCCTCACCTGACGGCCCGCCGCCATCGACTTCTGGCCCGCCACCTCACCAGACGGCCCCCCCGCCTCACCTGACGGCCCACCGTCTCACCTGCTGGCCCGCCACCTTACCTGACGGCCCCGCCGCCGCCTCAGCCTGACGGCCGCCGCCACCTTACATGACGGCCCCGCCGCCCTCACCTGACGGCCCGCCGCCTCACCTACTGGCCCGCCACCTGACCTGACGGCCCCGCCGCCTCACCTGACGGCCCGCCGCCTAACCCTGCTGGCCCGCCACCTCACCTGACGGCCCGCCGCCTCACCCGCTGGCCCGCCACCTGACCTGACGGCCCCGCCGCCTCACCTGACGGCTCGCCACCTCGCACTGCTGGCCCGCCACCTGACGGCTCCGCCGTCCCCTGTCCCGGCCCCGCCGCTGCACCCTGACGGCCCCACCGTCCCCTGTCCCGGCCCCGCAGCTGCACCTGACGGCCCCAGCCGAGCCGCCCCAGCAGCAGCCGAGCCGCCCAGCCGCAGCCGAGCCGCCCAGCGGCAGCCGAGCCGCCCAGCAGCAGCCCAGCCGCCCAGCAGCAGCCGAACCGCCCAGCAGCAGCCGAGCCGCCCAGCAGCAGCCGAGCCGCCCGGTACCCGAGACGCCCGAGCCGCCCGAGCCGCCCGAGCCGCCCGAGCAGCCCGAGCCGCCTGCTGCTGACCTACCCGACTCTCCCATCCCGGTGAGACTTTCAGCTGCTGCCATGGCCACCCCCAATGTTCTCACTTTTGACGCTGAGGGGAGGGCCATTGACTTTGCCGTCTGGATCGAGGACCTGCAGCTGTACTTACTGTGTGATGCGGTAGATGAGGTCTCTCTCTTTGACTTTTGTCTCTGGCGCTGTCCCTGCCCCGCCTGCTGATGCTGACTCTGCCGTCAGGTCACAGCCACAGCTAGAGCCTGCCTCCCCTTTGCATGCTCCTTCTCCCTACGCTGGTCCGACTGGAGGCCTTACTGAGCGTCGTGAGCCTGCTCTCGTCCTGCGTCGCCTGTTCGTACTGAGCGCGCTAGTGGTCGCGGGTCGCGTCAGCGTCCTCCTCCTGTCCCTGGCACGCACCGGATGTCACTGCGTCCGTCCACTGCTCCTCTGCGTGCCCCTTTGCCTTCTCCTCCTGCTTCCTCTCTTCCTGCTCTTGCCGACCCGGAGTCGGACTCTCTTCGTGCTGCCAGTCCTACTGTCACGCGTCTCCTTGCTACTGCTGTCACTGACCCTTCCTTCGAGTCGTCTGCTGCGTCTGCCCTTGTCACTGAGCTTGTCGACTTTGCTGCGCGCTGTCGTCTAGACTACGCTGCTCGTCTTGTCGCTGAGTCTGAGTCCGCCTGTCCTCCGTCCGTCGGGGTGAGTGTGCCCTTGGCACGGACGTCCTAGAGGACAGGCAGGAGGAGTTCCAGTGCCTAGCCGCTGCTTCACCTCGTCTCGCGTCTGTACTGCTAGCCCCTGAGGGAGACCCGGATGCACTAGACATCCCGACTCCGCGTTCTTACGCGGAGGCCGTAGAGGGTCCTACTCCTCTCAGTGGCAGGCAGCTATGGATGCAGAGATGGCTTCCTGGAAGTCCACAGGCACCTACGTTGACGCGGTTCCCCTCCTGGGGCGAACATCGTCAGTGGCATGTGGATCTTCAGGGTGAAGCGGCCGCCGGGCTCGCCGCCTGTCTTCAAGGCGCGTTACGTGGCTCGTGGCTTCAGTCAGCGGCAGGGAGTTGACTACTTTCAGACCTTCTCTCCCACCCCGAAGATGACCACTCTTCGGTGCTGCTGCACATTGCCGCTCAGCGCGACTACGAGCTTCACTCTCTCGACTTCAGCACTGCGTTCCTGCAGGGTAGCCTGCACGAGGAGATCTTGCTGCGCCGTCCGCCTGGCTTCACTGGGACTTTCCCTCCTGGCAACCCAGTGGAGCCTCCGACGGCCAGTCTACGGTCTCCGCCAGGCACCGCGTGAGTGGCACGACACACTGAGGACTACGCTTGCGGCTCTGGGGTTTGCTCCTTCTACTGCTGACCCGTCGCTGTTTCTTCGCACCGACACTTCCCTGCCGCCGTTCTACATCCTCGTGTACGTCGACGACTTGGTCTTTGCCACAGCGGACACTGCTGGACTCGCCTACGTGAAGTCCGAGCTGCTGAAGAGACACACGTGCACAGACCTGGGTGAACTGCGCAGCTACCTTGGCTTGCAGATCACTCGGGACAGAGCACGCCGCACCATTACCCTGACTCAGTCACACATGGTGCAGCAGGTCCTTCAGCGCTTCGGCTTCACGTACTCCTCGCCTCAGGCCACTCCTCTGCCTACTCGCCACTCACTCTCAGCTCTGCCTTCGGATGAGTCCGTAGAGTCGAGTGGTCCGTATGCAGAGCTTGTTGGCTGCCTCATGTACCTGATGACCTGCACACGACCTGACCTTGCATACCCTCTGAGCATCCTTGCACGCTATGTTGCTCCTGGGAGACACCGACCAGAGCACATGGCTGCAGCGAAGAGGGTATTGCGCTACCTGTGCAGTACGTCGGGCATGGGGCTAGTGCTTGGAGGGCGGAGTCCAGTGGTCCTTACTGGGCACGCAGACGCTTCTTGGGCTGACGACCAGGCTACGCAGCGGTCGTCACAGGGTTACACCTTCAGCCTTGGTTCCGGCTCTGTCTCGTGGCGGTCTACTCGCTCGTCTTCGGTTCTCGGCTCCAGTTGTGAGGCTGAGATCTACGCCGGGGCCGGGGCCATGGCTGCACAGGAGCTTCGCTGGCTCACCTACCTGCTGACTGACCTTGGAGAGCTGCCTCGTTCTCCTCCAGTGCTGTACGTAGACAACAAGGCCATGTTGGCCTTGTGTCGAGAGCAGCGCTTGGAGCACAGAACGAAGCACATTGCTCTCCGCTACTTCCTTGCTCGTGAGCTGCAGCAGCGTGGTCAGTTGCGACTTGCTTACGTGGCCTCTGAGGCCAACAATGCTGATGTGTTCACCAAGGCACTTGCGCCTTGCGACCATCAGCGCTTTTGTACCCAGCTGGGTCTTGTACCTGTCTTGCCTCACTTGCTCTCTTCTTGACTTTACTTGTACTTTGACATATATATACCTGCTCTTGCTTGTCTAGTTTTATATATATGTCTGTACTCTTGCATGTGAACTGGCCTCTGGCCTTGCTCTTGTGCTGGACTGTGTGGTGACTTTGTGATTCACCCTGAGCTTGCTTTGCTTTGCTTGACTGGTCTTGTGACCCTTGTTCTCCCCCACTTTGCCTATGGGGTGTGTCAGTTATTATAGCTGATGCATGTTTGTAGGCTATAGTGGGGTAGCACATATGGGGTACAGTTTGCTAGGGTTGTATTTGTACCCAACTCTGACTTAGTCAATTCATTCCTGTTCAGTTAGTTTCACACTATCTCTATGGGCGCCTGTCTCTAGGGGTGCCTATCTCTATGGGCGCCTATCTCTAGGGGCGCCTATCTCTAGTGGCGCCTATCTCTAGGGGCACCTATCTCTATGGGCGCTATCTCTAGGGGCGCCTATCTCTATGGGCGCCTATCTCTATGGGTGCCTATCTCTATGGGCGCCTATCTCTATGGGCGCCTATCTCTATGGGCGCCTATCTCTATGGGCGCCTATCTTTATGGGCGCCTGTCTCTATGGGCGCCTATCTCTATGGGCGCCTGTCTCTAGGGGTGCCTATCCCTATGGGCGCCTATCTCTATAGGGCGCCTATCTCTAGTGGCGCCTATCTCTAGGGGCGCCTATCTCTATGGGCGCCTATCTCTAGGGGAGCCTATCTCTAGGGGCACCTATCTCTAGGAGCGCCTATCTCTAGGGGCGCATATCTCTATGGGCGCCAATCTCTAAGGGCACCTATCTCTATGGGCGCCTATCTCTATGGGCGCCTATCTCTAGGGGCGGCTATCTCTAGGCGCCTATCTCTATGGGCGCCTATCTGTATGGGCGCCTATCTCTATCGGTGCCTATCTCTAGGGGTGCCTATCTCTATGGCGCCTATCTCCAGGGGCGCCTATCTCTAGTGGCGCCTATCTCTAGGGGCGCCTAATTCTATGGGCGCCTATCTCTAGGGGCGCCTATCTCTAGGGGCGCCTATCTCTATGAGCGCCTATCTCTAGGGGCGCATATCTCTATGGGCGCCAATCTCTAGGGGCACCTATCTCTATGGGCGCCTATCTCTATGGGCGCCTATCTCTATGGGCGCCTATCTCTTTGGGCGCCTATCTATGGGGCGCCTATCTCTATGGGCGCATATCTCTATGGGCGCCAATCTCTAGGGGCACCTATCTCTATGGGCGCCTATCTCTATAGGCGCCTATCTCTATGGGCGCCTATCTCTATGGGCGCCTATCTATTTGGGCGCCTTTCTCTATGGGCGCCTATCTCTATGGGCGCCTATCTCTAGGGGCTCCTATCTCTAGGGGCGCCTATCTCTATGGGCGCCTATCTCTATGGGCGCCTATCTCTAGGGCGCCTATCTCTAGGGGCGCCTATCTCTAGGGGCGCCTATCTCTAGGGGCGCATATCTCTATGGGCGCCTATCTCTAGGGGCGCCTATCTCTATGGGGCGCCTATCTCTATGGGCGCCTATCTCTATGGGCGCCTATCTCTATGGGCGCCTATCTCTATGGGCGCCTATCTCTATGGGCGCCTATCTCTATGGGCGCCTATCTCTTTGGGCGCCTATCCCTATGGGCGCCTATCTCTATGGGCGCCTATCTCTAGGGGTTCCTATCTCTATGGACGCCTATCTCTAGGGGCGCCTATCTCTATAGTGGCGCCTATCTCTAGGGGCGCCTATCTCTATGGGCGCCTATCTCTAGGGGCACCTATCTCTAGGGGCGCCTATCTCTAGGGCGCATATCTCTATGGGCGCCAATCTCTAGGGGCACCTATCTCTATAGGCGCCTATCTCTATGGGCGCCTATCTCTATGGGCGCGTATCTCTAGGGGCGCCTATCTCTAGGGCGCCTATCTCTATGGGCGCCTATCTCTATGGGCGCCTATCTCCATGGGTGCCTATCTCTATGGGCGCCTATCTCTATGGGCGCCTATCTCTATGGGCGCCTATCGCTATGGGCGCCTGTCTCTAGGGGTGCCTATCTCTATGGGCGCCTATCTCTAGGGGCGCCTATCTCTAGTGGCGCCTATCTCTAGGGGCGCCTATCTCTATGGGCGCCTATCTCTAGGGGCGCCTATCTCTAGGGGCGCCGCTATCTCTATGGGCACCTATCTCTATGGGTGCCTATCTCTATGGGCGCCTATCTCTATGGGCGCTATCTCTATGGGCGCCTATCTCTATGGGCGCCTATCTCTATGTCCGCCTATCTCTATGGGCGCCTATCTCTATGGGCGCCTGTCTCTAGGGGTGCCTATCTCTATGGGCGCCTATCTCTAGAGGCGCCTATCTCTAGTGGGCCTCATCTCTAGGGGCGCCTATCTCTATGGGCGCCTATCTCTAAGGGCGCCTATCTCTATGGCGCCTATCTCTATGGGGGCCTATCTCTATGGGCGCCTATCTCTATGGGCGCCTATCTCTATGGGCGCCTATCTCTAGGGGCGGCTATCTCTATGGGCGCCTATCTCTATGGGCGCCTATCTGTATGGGCGCCTATCTCTATCGGTGCCTATCTCTAGGGGTGCCTATCTCTATGGGCGCCTATCTCCAGGGGCGCCTATCTCTAGTGGTGCCTATCTCTAGGGGCGCCTAATTCTATGGGCGCCTATCTCTAGGGCGCCTATCTCTAGGGGCGCCTATCTCTATGAGCGCCTATCTCTAGGGGGCTCATATCTCTATGGTCGCCAATCTCTAGGGGCACCTATCTCTATGGGCGCCTATCTCTATGGGCGCCTATCTCTATGGGCGCCTATCTTCTTTGGGCGCCTATCTATTTGGGCGCCTATCTCTATGGGCGCATATCTCTATGGGCGCCAATCTCTAGGGCACCTATCTCTATGGGCGCCTATCTCTATGGGCGCCTATCTCTATGGGCGCCTATCTCTATGGGCGCCTATCTATTTGGGCGCCTTTCTCTATGGGCGCCTATCTCTATGGGCGCCTATCTCTAGGGGCGCCTATCTCTAGGGGCGCCTATCTCTAGGGGCGCCTATCTCTAGGGGCGCATATCTCTATGGCGCCTATCTCTAGGGGCGCCTATCTCTATGGGCGCCTATCTCTATGGGCGCCTATCTCTATGGGCGCCTATCTCTATGGGCGCCTATCTCTATGGGCGCCTATCTCTATGGGCGCCTATCTCTATGGGCGCCTATCTCTTTGGGCGCCTATCCCTATGGGCGCCTATCTCTATGGGCGCCTATCTCTAGGGGTTCCTATCTCTATGGACGCATATCTCTAGGGGCGCCTATCTCTAGTGGCGCCTATCTCTAGGGGCGCCTATCTCTATGGGCGCCTATCTCTAGGGGCACCTATCTCTAGGGGCGCCTATCTCTAGGGGCGCATATCTCTATGGGCGCCAATCTCTAGGGGCACCTATCTCTATAGGCGCCTATCTCTATGGGCGCCTATCTCTATGGGCGCGTATCTCTAGGGGCGCCTATCTCTATGGGCGCTATCTCTATGGGCGCCTATCTCTATGGGCGCCTATCTCCATGGGTGCCTATCTCTATGGGCGCCTATCTCTATGGGCGCCTATCTCTATGGGCGCCTATCGCTATGGGCGCCTGTCTCTAGGGGTGCCTATCTCTATGGGCGCCTATCTCTAGGGGCGCCTATTCTCTAGTGGGCCTCCTATCTCTAGGGGCGCTATCTCTATGGGCGCCTATCTCTAGGGGCGCCTATCTCTAGGGGCGCTTATCTCTATGGGCGCCTATCTCTATGGGTGCCTATCTCTATGGGCGCCTATCTCTATGGGCGCCTATCTCTATGGGCGCCTATCTCTATGGGCGCCTATCTCTATGTGCGCCTATCTCTATGGGGCCTATCTCTATATGGGCGCCGTCTCTAGGGGTGCCTATCTCTATGGGCGCCTATCTCTAGAGGCGCCTATCTCTAGTGGCGCCTATCTCTAGGGGCGCCTATCTCTATGGGCGCCTATCTCTAAGGGCGCCTATCTCTATGGGCGCCTATCTCTATGGGTGCCTATCTCTATGGGCGCCTATCTCTATGGGCCTATCTCTATGGGCGCCTATCTCTATGGGCGCCTATCTCTATGGGCGCCTATCTCTATGGGCGCCTATCTCTATGGGCGCCTGTCTCTAGGGTGCCTATCTCTATGGGCGCCTATCTCTATGGGCGCCCATAGAGATAGGCGCCCCTAGAGATAGGCTCACCTAGAGATAGGCGCCCATAGAGATAGGCGCCCTAGAGATAGGCGCCCCTAGAGATAGGCGCCCCTAGAGATAGGCGGCCCTAGAGATAGGCGGCCCTAGAGATAGGCGCCATAGAGATAGGCGCCCATAGAGATAGGCACCCATAGAGATAGGCGCCCATAGAGATAGGCGCCCTTAGAGATAGGCGCCCATAGAGATAGGCGCCCCTAGAGATAAGCTCCCATAGAGATATGCGCCCCTAGAGATAGGCGCCCCTAGAGATAGGCGCCCCTAGAGATAGCGCCCCTAGAGATAGGCGCCCATAGAGATAGGCGCCCATAGAGATAGGCGCCCCTAGAGATAGGCGCCCTTAGAGATAGGCGCCCCTAGAGATAGGCGCCCATAGAAATAGGCGCCCATAGAGATAGGCGCCCCTAGAGATAGGATCACCTAGAGATAGGCGCCCATAGAGATAGGCGCCCATAGAGATAGGCGCCCTAGAGATAGGGCCCCTAGAGATAGGCGGCCCTAGAGATAGGCGGCCCTAGAGATAGGCGCCCAAGAGATAGGCGCCCATAGAGATAGGCGCCCTAGAGATAGGCGCCCCTAGAGATAGGCGCCCCTAGAGATAGGCGCCCATAGAAAATAGGCGCCCATAGAGATAGGCGCCCCTAGAGATAGGCTCACCCTAGAGAAGGGCGCCCATAGAGATAGGCGCCCATAGAGGATAGGCGCCCCTAGAGATAGGCGCCCCTAGAGATAGGCGGCCCTAGAAGATAGGCGGCCCCTAGAGATAGGGCGCCCATAGAGATAGGCGCCCATAGAGATAGGCGCCCATAGAGATAGCGCCCCTAGAGATAGGCGCCCCTAGAGATAGGCGGCCCATAGAGATAGGCGCCCATAGAGATAGGCGCCCATAGAGATAGGCGCCCATAGAGATAGGCGCCCATAGAGATAGGCGCCCATAGAGATAGGCGCCCATAGAGATAGGCGCCCATAGAGATAGGCGCCCATCCCATAGAGATAGGCGCCCATAGAGCATAGTCGCCCCTAGAGATAGGCGCCCCTAGAGATAGGCGCCCATAGAGATAGGCGCCATAGAGATAGGCGCCCATGAGATAGGCGCCCATAGAGATAGGCGCCACCATAGAGATAGGAGCCCCTAGAGATAGGCGCCCATAGAGATAGGCGCCCCTAGAGATAGGCGCCCATAGAGATAGGCGCCATAGAGATAGGCGCCTCCTAGAGAAAGGGCGCCCTAGAGATAGGCGCCCATAGAGATAGGCGCCCATAGAGATAGGTGCCCTAGAGATAGGCGCCCATAGAGATAGGCGCCCCTAGAGATAGGCGCCCCTAGAGATAGGCGCCCTAGAGATAGGCGCCCATAGAGATAGGCGCCCATAGAGATAGGCGCCCATAGAGATAGGCGGCCATAGAGATAGGCGCCCCTAGAGATAGGCGCCCCCTCCCTAGAGATAGGCGCTATATAGATAGGCGCCCATAGAGATAGGCGCCCCTAGAGATAGGCGCCCCATAGAATAGGCGCCCTAGAGATAGGCGCCCCTAGAGGATAGGCGGCCAATAGAGATAGGCCCCTAGAGATAGGCGCCCCTAGAGATAGGCGCCCCTAGAGATAGGCGCCCCTAGAGATAGGCGCCCACTAGAGATAGGCGCCCATAGAGATAGGCGCCCATAGAGATAGGCGCCCATAGAGATAGGCGCCCATAGAGATAGCGCCCATAGAGATAGGCGCCCATAGAGATAGGCGCCCCTAGAGATAGGCGCCCCTAGAGATATGCGCCCCTAGAGATAGGCGCCCATAGAGATAGGCGCCCCTAGAGATAGGCGCCCATAGAGATAGGCCCCCATAGAGATATGCGCCCCTAGAGATAGGCGCCCCTAGAGATAGGCAGCCCCTAGAGATAGGCGACCCTAGAGATAGGCGCCCATAGAGATAGGCGCCACTAGAGATAGGCGCCCCTAAGATAGGCGCCCATAGAGATAGGCGCCCAAGAGATAGGCGCCCCTAGAGATAGGCGCCCTAGCGATAGGCGCTCCTAGAGATAGGCGCCACTAGAGATAGGCGCCCCCATAGAGATAGGCCGGCCATAGAGATAGGGCCCCTAGAGATAGGCGCCCCTAGAGATAGGCGCCCATAGAGATAGGCGCCCATAAAGAGGGGCGCCCATAGAGATAGGCGCCCATAGAGATAGGCGCCCCTAGAGATAGGCGCCCCCCCTTAGAGATAGGCGCCCATAGAGATAGGTGCCCCTAGAGATAGGCGCCCCTAGAGATAGGCGCCCCTAGAGATAGGGCGCCCTAGAGATAGGCGCCCCTAGAGATAGGCGGCCATAGAGATAGGCGCCCCTAGAGATAGGCGCCATAGATATAGGCGCCCATAGAGATAGGCGCCCCTAGAGATAGGCGGCCCTAGAGATAGGCGCCCCTAGAGATAGGCGCCCATAGATATAGGGCCCATAGAGATAGGCGCCCCTAGTGATAGGCGGCCATAGAGATAGGGCCCCTAGAGATAGGCGCCCTAGAGATAGGCGCCCATAGAGATAGGCGCCCATAGAGATAGGCGGCCATAGAGAAAAGGCGCCCATAGAGTAGGCGCCCCCTAGAGATAGGCGGCCCTATTGATAGGCCCCCTAGAGATAGGCGCCCTCATAGCGATAGGCGCCAATAGAGATAGGCGCCCATAGATATAGGCGCCCCTAGAGATAGGGGCCTCACCTAGAGATAGGCGCCTACTAGAGAATAGGCGCCCAGAGAGATAGGCGCCCCT